CAGGCACTCTATATTTCCCCATTTCATTATTCCTCACAACCCCATTCTGCCCTCCAGATGGATACAGTCTCATTTTATCAGAGGGAGCTAGCTCCGAAACTCAGGTAAAATCGCTCTCACTGTAAATGGCGCAGCTGGGAAGAAGCCCTGCCCATTCGGGCTCCCAGGTCCTCCTGCGAACAGAACACAGCGGGAGACCACGTGACCTCAGGCAGGCAGGAGCAGAGACTCCACAACCGACTCAGCTGGACCAGGCCGGTGGTCTGCCCGTAGATGTCTGCCGGCATCAAAATCTCCCAACACTTTATGAAAATATCCAACTTCCAGGCTCCAGCCCCAAAGGTACAGATTCAGAAGGTCTGGGTAAAGCCTGGGAATCTGCACTTTGCGGGTAGATAAAAGGTACTTCAAGACTTCAGAAATCACTGGGCTGAGATGGAGGTTAGCTGTGTCTCCTCATGAAGAAAACGCACATCTAGCCAATTACTCAAACTCGAAAGAGGGTAAATCTTAGATTCTGCAAATTCTAAAATCTGCCACCCACAATTCCTGAATATTGCAGATAGAGAAAAAAACAGTATGAGATACGAGTTGGTATACAAGTTGGTAAAACAAAAGCTGTACAAAGAAAGGCAAATAGGGCTCTAAAGGAACTTATAACAAAAGTGGGGAAAAGGGCGCCTGGGTGGCTCAGTTGGTTGGGCGACTGCCTTCGGCTCAGGTCATGATCCTGGAGTCCCGGGATCGAGTCCCACATCGGGGCTCCCTGCTCGGCGGGGAGTCTGCTTCTCGCTCTGACCCTCCTCCCTCTCAGGCTCTCTGTCTCTCATTCTCTCTCTCACAAATAAATAAAATCTTAGAAAAAAAAAGTGGGAAAAATACTGCTTAAAAAGATAACAATACAGTATATATCATGCACTATTTAAAGTCTAGAAAAATGGTGTGGGGTGGAGCAGTGTCCAGAACTTCTAGAACGTCCCCTCTTCCTTCCTGTTTGCTCACATGCTACCAGATGGAAAGAGAAAGAAAGAGAAGTAGAAATGGGGATTCTCTCCGGCCTTTGCTTTGGGAACCCTATTTGAGGACGGGAAGACAATGGCTTTCACTGCAGCAGGAGAACTGCATGAAAGTCAAGTATGGGCTCTGCAATCACACAGATCTGGATTTTTGTCCCCACTCCACCACGTACTTTCTGTGTGACCTTAGACCCTGTCTGAGCTCAGTTCTTCATCCGTTAATACAGGGATAATTAATACTCACTTTCAAGCCAGTTTCAAAGATTCAATAACATAAAAATTATAATATGTACCTAACCAGAGTGGGGCATCTCAGCCTTCAAAGGGTGACAGGGAACCTAACAGAAACCAATCCAATCCTATACGAAGAGTACTGACGGGTCAACTTTTCCATTTATCCTCTCCCACTCCCTCAGGTCCCTTCTCTATCCTTCTCTGGCCTCATCTGTGCACCAGGTCAACTCCTTCCCAACTGCATCACCTGGACTCCCTTTACTGGCTTGTTTGGGTTTGGCCAATGAAAGGTCCAAAAGGAGATGCCAGGAGCTGCCTCGGGACTTGCTCCCCGCCCCCCTACCCCTATCACCCCTAACCGGGGCCACATTTCTGAGAGTGCTTTCATCTGGCCAAGCCTACAACTTCTGTTGAACAGCTCTTCCTCTACAGTTCTAGCGATCATTGGCATCTGGTAACACAACTGCCTCCCTTGGCCCCTTCAGCCTAAGGGTAACAGCTACTCCCTGTGGCTGCTAGTCTTTGGGCTCCTCAGTATCTCGTCAGTTCCCTGAAAGCCACCCACACCACTATAAATAGTCACATCATATAAGTCCCCTGAATTATCTGAATGGGATTCCATACTCTCCCAGGACCTGATATGATTCATCCTCCCTGCTCACAAACTGCTTTCTCTCAAGTGTACCCCATCCTCCCAGTGGCCATTTTTAAGCCTAATGATTCTGTCCATCCTTTCACCTGACCCAAGCTGAAGCAAAGAGATTTTTCTCCCTGGAAACATGACGATGGAACTGAACTAGAAGGGATCGCTTCTTACATACAGAGGAACTGTAATCCCAGGAGCTGAGAGGTAGCCACATTCTTCCTACTACATGGCCTGAGAAACAGAAGACCAGCCTGAAGAGAGGTAAGAATAAAACGAGGCGTAAAAAGCAGCAGAGATGAGCAAGGGAGAGCCTGAAGATGACCCTGAATTCCTGGAATAACACTTGTAACCTTCTAAAGCATACTTTTTTTGCTTGAGCGAGTTTGTTGGTTACCATTCCTAGCAACTGAGTCCTCAACATACACTGTAAGGTTAATTTCAACTGCTTCTGGGATGCCTCGGTGGCTCAGTTGGTTAAGTGTCTGCCTTCCGCTCAGGTCATGATCCCAGGGTCCTGGGATCGAGCCCCAAATCAGGCTCCCTGCTCACTGGGGAGCCTGCTTCTCCCTCTGCCTGCCATGCTCCCCGCTTGTGTGCGCACTCCCTCTCTCTGTTGCTCTCTCCCTCTGACAAATAAATAAAATCTTTAAAAAATAATAATAATTTCAACTGTTTCTAACTACTACCAAACCAAGATGAAATATCCCTGAAATAGTAAAGGAATCAAAGGCTGAAAGGAAAGGGATGACAGAAGCTAAAACTGACCATACTGGACCAAAGGTGAAAAGTAAAACAAACAAACAAACAAAAAAACACAAGTAGGTCTACAGATAACAGGCAAGAACAGGATTCTGGTTAGGTATGTATAAGATGCACTCCCCGCACTCAAAGACCAACAAAACAAAAGTTGAGGTGATTTTAGAACTGAGTCAGTGGAGATCCCATGGGAAGCTTAATCACTTGCCTTCTGACCTTTATTCAGATGGTGTCAATTCTGTTTCCCTCCTCCATAAATATAGCAAATTTGTAGCCAACACTAATAGTCTTTATGAAGAGATTTATTTAAAGTCAGTTACTCTGCATGGCTCCATGATACACAGAGCAAAGCATTTGTGTGGCCCTAATATTAGGTTCATGGTACTGGTAAGACAGAGGTTTAACTTTAAAAATGAAGAGTGTCCAACTGACCTCCCTTTTAAGACCTACCTTACTCAATCAATGTCACTGAGTACCTACTAAGCGCTGGACACTGGCTAGGTTTTATTTTTTTATTTTTTTTTTAAAGATTTTATTTATTTATTGGACAGAGAGAGACACAGAGAGGGAGAGGGAACAGAAGCAGCGGGAGAAGGAGAGGGAGAAGCAGGCTTCCCGCTGAGCAGGGAGCCCGATGTGGGGCTCGATCCCAGGACCCTGAGATCATGACCTGAGCCGAAGGCAGACGCTTAACGACTGAGCCACCCAGGCGCCCCACTGGCTAGGTTTTAAAGGTACCAAATAACAGATTATTACCTACCAAGATCCATGAGGAAGGAGTGACTGCACCTCTAAACCCCCTAAGATCAGGCATCTAGCCACCTCCACAACCTGATCTCCCACCACTACCCCCAGCCCACCCTTGTGGCTCCACACTTCCTCCAAGAGCCTTTGGATTCAGCATCTCTTCCTCCTGGAAGGCTCAAGCCTACTTAATTCTTAAGTATGCTGAGAGCTCATTTCAAATACTATTTCCTTAGGGAAGACTACTCTGACTTCCTGGACTAGACCAGGTCCCTGATTTTTTTTTCCTTCACAGCTACCAGTACAATTTTACATACAAACACAAAAATATATCTGTAATTTCTGTCTCTTCCTTCTAGCATGGGAGCTATATAAGGGCAGCCTCCTTCCCATCCCTTGAGTCTAGCTTAGTTCTAGGTTGAATGAATGAATACGGAGTCCTGAAAATATACACAGGAAGGACATGGATTTAAGGGAGCAATTCCGCCTCCTTCGGGAAGCCTTCAGAGCATCACAGCCCCCAAAACTGTATAGCTCCTTTGACCTCCACTAACTATGCCGCTCCCTTAGCATATATGTTATATTCCGTTGCCTTTACTTTATTCATCTTTGAAATAATAAAGGAATCAATGGCTGACGGAAAGGGGACGCCAGAAGCTGAATTTGACCATGTTGGACTGAATGTGAAAAGTAAAATGCAAAATGATTAGGTCTCTACAGCCAAGTTCAGGATTCTCATTAGGCTTTACCGAGACGTCTGGGGATGTCTCTAACCTGGGCAGGTTACAAATCTCTAACCTGGGAAGGACACACTTGGCTTTCTTTGGTAGCTTATTACACCCAACATTCTCCAACTCTCGCTCTGAAGTGGTCTTGACTCCAGGGACTTAAAACTCACCACAGAAGATCTAAATACAGTTACAGCTGCCTCTAAGGATCTTAGAACTAAGTGCCACTGGCTGTAGAGCCGCTTTTTAAACATCCTTCCCCCTTTATTTGTAAGGAAATTTATATTTTTCAAAGCGCTTTCCCCACCTCACTCCCTTCTCTCCCTGTGCTTCTCAACCACGAGGTAAGGAAGAGCGGGCCAGAAGCCTACCGCCAACCCCCGTTTCGTAGCAGAGAAAAGCGAGGCTCAGCCCAGTGATGCGACTCCCGAAGGCCCTGGGGTCGGTGCTCCCTCGCTAAGAAGAGGCCTCAGGGACTGCCTTTCCACCCAGGTTTGGAACCTTGTAGACGCGAAAGGCTTCAAGTACGCACACAGTCCTAAGTGGACCCTCGCCGTGGGGTCCTAAATACACACGCTTTGCCGGCTTCGTACTGCAAACGCCGGCCGCAGGGCTGTCTAATCACCAGGTAAACCCAGCACGCCGCCTGGCCGCCTCCTCCCGAGCGAACCGAGGGCGCGCCGCCACCCGCAGCGCCAGGGGGACCCGGTGGCTGACGGCGCGGCGTAACTACCTGAACGCCGTGCACGATATACACCTTCTCCGCCTCACTCAGCGCCACGGACGCCATGCTGCCGAGCCGCCCCGCTCGTCGCACGTCATCTGCGCGCGTCGCCCCCGCGCCGGCCGCGCCCCCCTCCCACGCGCCCGTGCGTCATCAGCCTGCGCGGCGGCCGCTCCTGCAGCCACCGCTGCTGCCGCCACCGCCGGCAGCTCGATGGGCTTCTCCTGCGCGCCGCCCGGTGTCTGGACGAGTCCGGGAAGCCGCGGCGCCTCGTGCCGGGGAGCCATCGCTGCAGCCCGAGGTCCGGTCCCGGGTCGGGGGCTGCAGGGGGAGGCGACGGCGGCGGCGAAGGGAGCCCCACCGGGGGCCTGGCACTGGGGAACTGCCTCCGGCTTCACGGTCAGTTGGGAGGGGGAACTGGGGTTGAGTGAAAAGGCTGAGGTGAGGCCAGAGGCGCGGGCCGGGGCCGGACCTTAGGACTTGCAGTGGGAGAGGCGCGCGTCGCAGTTTGCTCAGAGCTGGAGTTGAAGTAGCAGAGCGTGTGTGTGTGTGTGTGAGAGAGAGAGAGAGAGAGAGAGAGAGAGAGAGACCTAAGAAAGAGAGAGACCTGAAAGAGACCGACCCCGAGCGAGGGGAGGCGGACGTCATGGTTGGCCTGAGGGGCTGTCTCCTTGCTCTCCTCCCCTCTTCCCCCCACCCCCCGCCCTCCGTCCCGCATTTCCCTAGTCCCTAGGGTGGTTGAAAAGAAGAGGCGGTGAAGCCCTCTTTACTTCGTTCTCGGTGGGAAAGGTCCGGGCCGGGAGTGAGTGCCCACTAATCCCGAGGCGTCCTCACTCCACCCCAAGGATCCCACCCGTGCCCCCTCTCTCTGGGGCTGACCAGACGCTGACCCAGAACCTTGCAGGATCCCCCTTGCCCCAAGTGGTCGCTGGAGCATTGTCCCAAAGAGAGGAGGGGGCAGAGTCTTGGTAACTGGCGCTGGCGAGGGACACAGTGCCCAGGGTCCCCAGCCCTTCCCACCAATGGCAGGAAGCCTGGGCTTGATGGTGTGGTCGCTGGGAGCTATAGACAGCTGGGGGGGGGGCGAGGGGAGCCAGCCCTGGCGGTGGCCAAGTGGGAGTAGGGCCTTGGATATCCAGAATGGATACCTGCAAGGTGAATATAGGGTCACTGAAGGAGCCCATTAAGGTGAGGCAAGATAGGGTATGGTACAGATTTTAAAGAGGTCATGTGGATAAATGGGGGAAAGTTAACCCAAAGTGATTGAAGCAAGGGGATCTGATGACTTTTCCAAATGTCCCTCTTTTAAGGAGCCTTCCTGTTCTCAAAAAGTGAAAATACAGTAACCCTTGACAGCTTGATCATCTAACGAATGTATTTCTCAGCTAGTAGCTTCCATACTGTCTCATAGGTAACTATTGAGAGCTTACCATGGATGGGCTTTGTGCCAACTTTGGAACACTAAAACAAATAAAATACAACTTCTGCCCAGAGAAGCTTCACAGGCAGAGGGAAAGGCTCTAGGGTCAACATAACCACAGAACATGGTTAAGAACTACGATGATGGCACCATGAACATAGTGGGATTAGGGAGGTGGGCCAGAGGAGGGTACAGGGAAGAAGTACCTGTCCATATTCTTAAGCTGTAAACTGCTGAGTTCCAAAATAAATGATCACTTCCTAGTAGACTGGACATCATTTGTTTCTTGTCTCCATAGTTCTCTTATAGGTGTGAGTACAGGGTTGGACTTTGCCCTCTAGGGAAACTGGGAGAGGAAACTGGAAGGCTTTTCTTACGAATGAAAGCACAGGTGCCCCACCCGTCGTGGTACATAGGAATCTGTGTGGTTGGACACCTGGTTTCTATGTGAGGAGCTTTGTGATGAGATAACAAGGGACTGCTGATGTTAGAAATGATATTTTGTTCTAGAGATTACTCAGAAAGTAGAGACCATGAACATGGAATTTTAGTAGCTAGGATATCTAAGAGGATTGAGGATTTAAAAAGTGGCAGCAAATGGACAGATCAGAAAAGACAGAAGAATCTGGGTTGGATACCATGGAGTCATCTTTATATAAAGATCTCTCAATATGTCTTCAAAAATATAGAACATCTATTTGAACCATTGCCCTGGCAATTGACTAAAGGTTCCTTGCTGGAGAAGAGTTGGCAGTATTTGCTAAATAATATTATGAATGGTGTCTGACATGTTAGGCTAAGTAGGTCTGAGAGGTGTAAACAGTGAAATGTTTATTTTAAATTCTCTACTAAAACAATGACACCTTCACTAACCGTTATATTTCAGTGCTGCCAGAACATTTTTTACCATGTTTGTTGTGATAATTTTTAAAACTCATAAATTCAGAGTTCTTTTTTGGTTATTAAAGCAAGACAAAGAATGCATGTTAGCCAGAAAAATCAAGAAGCCAAGAATAACACCTTAGTCTATAAAACCAGCATGTTTTTCCATCATTGTCAGATTCTTGGCCGGGGCGGGGGGGAGGACATATTGTTTTGTAGGTCTGTCCGTTCTGAATCTCTGTACTCTGTTAATTTTATTTAACATTAACTTACATTAACATACCATAGTGCTCATTAGGTGCCAAGCACTGTTCTAAAGCACTTTACAATGATTAACTGATTTGGTCCTCACAAGAGCCCTATGAGGCAAGTACTATTGTCCCTATTTTACAGACTGGGAAACTGAGGTGCAGAGAGGTTGATCGTCTTGATCAAGGTCACAGGTCACATGACTAGAAAGTGCCAGACCTGGGATTTGAGACCAGGCAATCCAACCCCATACTTGCCCTCCTAACCATCCCTTATGCAGTCTCCCCACCAGACTATACTTCATTTGCCAAAGTATTTGGTGAAGGAGGCCTATGTTTGTTATGGAATTGTAACTGCCCTGTAGGCTGTAGTTAGTTTTTATTCCAAAAGCAGGGAGTCTATTCAAGCATAAATTCACATCCCTTGAATCCTTATTCTAAAGGAATGTTGAACGTGGTGCTGAAGGGACGCTCCTATGTCTGTTTCAGCCAACCCTGTTAGATAAGGGGAAAGGTTACATACAGGCCAAGTGGAGCTTAACTCAGAGGAGCTGAGAAGAGCCCTCAACAACAGAGAAGGCTGATGGATCTGGGACTGATGATGGGGCAAGGCGTGGAGACCCAGATGCCGACCATGTGCCTTACTCCCAGAATAGACATCTAGAAGCTCTCAAACAGGAAGTATTTGTTTGCATGCCTGTGAGTGTCGTGTTCTTGTAGACTCAAAGAGATGGGAAACTGAAAACATACCTGCCTAAAAGGAGTTGAGGATTTACTCTAGCTAGAGAGCCCGGGCACTCGAACTAGCGCATAAACGAGACAATGAAATAAAGTGCCCAACTGAGCCAGTGTGGTAATTAGACGTGAGGCCAACCTATAAGGTGCTAATTGTGCAGGCCAGGTATCAAGGGCGAGGGGTAAAGAGCTGCTGCTAGCCACTAGCAGGCAACAATGACATTACAGAGGTGAAGTAAATCTGTCCCACCTAACCTTGGTTAATTAAAGCAATAAAAGCCAGTTACAGAAGAGCTTGGGGCAATGCTGAGTCCATGGTGCTGAAGTTGCAGAGAGCTCTTAAAAGCCCAGCAGGGGAACATCTTCCCAGCCTCAAAGAGAGGTAGCCAAGTAGGAGGCCTTTACCTCTGCATTTTCACAATTAGCCCAGCACTGCAGAAAAGCAAAATCGAGTGACTATTTTCCCTATAGATCTGTTTCCTTTAAACACTTTGATTTGTCCTGCCTGTGCCTTGTCTGAAGAAACACTCGATATAAATAACCTGTCAGTCAGGCCGACACGTCTGTGGCTGTCTTGCTTTTCCAGAAATTACAACTCGTAATTACAGTGGTAGAAAAATTGATGGGACTACGTCGGGTAAAGCTTATTCTCATTTAGAGGAACAGACTTCATGTGTGTTCATTTTGAGAGGGTAGCAGGGTGCTTCTTAGGTCTTTAATTAGGGCATGTGTGAACAAACGGGGGGGGGGGTCACATATTCTGATTAGCAAATCTGGAAATACTTAAACACACATACACATGCTAATAGCCCCAGAATCCAAATAGAAGTGGAGGAGTGTGGTCTGGATATTGACCTGCTGGGTGGGGGAGGGAAGCAAATGCCATGCTGCCTCTAGTTTCTTCCTGTTTTTGCATGTTTTTAATCACTTACTTTCCTCTTTGGAAGCAGATTTCCAGAGACAAATGGCCAGGTTATTCCTGGCTCTCAACTGTGAAGTTAAGAAGGCTCCAGTTCCCTGTCCCACCTAATTAAGTTATCCATCCAAGAAATGCCAGGAAATACCAGGAAAACTCCATCTTTTCATAGTCTCCTCCAAACTATAAACCTTTCTGGTATGTAGAAACTTGGCAATTGAACTCTGGATTTTTCTGGGCTACCTGAGACATGAATTTCTCCCGGTCAGGGTCCGTGGAGACGGAATCCCTTTGGGTGAGATAGATATCTCACCTTAGAAAAATAAGCCTAGTGGGACAGATGCAATTCTGGCCACAGTTCGGTTGCTGTAACTTTTGACTTGGCTATGGACAGAGCATATGTTTCTAAACCGAGAAATACCAGCAGAAAATCTAGAAAGGCAAGATGATTAGGAAAAAAATGATCTATCGGTGCAAAGACTACTGGTTGTCTATTCTGGTGATCTGGGCTTTGCCGGAGATCATTTTTTTGTGATTTTGAGCAGGTCTGTTAACCGTTCTAAACCTCATTTTACCCTAAAATGTGTATCTTACCAAGATGGTAAAGCTCAGAACTGATCATGGATATACATATATTTAAACGATGTAAAATGGTCTTACTTCACTTTAAAGATTTCTCTCTCAGCACTTTGTAATATTTGATGCATTTTGGTAGTGCTTTTTCCACTCTGAAAAAAAAATTAAGTGAATTAACAAAAGGAAATGGTAATTGGTTGAAAAACTGAGCATGCTCAGGAAAATGGCCAACAGTTATTGGTGGATTTCTTTCTGTATAGGAACAAAGAACAGGGACCGGAAGTTAAGGGATGCTTTTGGTAAACATATAAAATCCAAGAAATTAACAAAGAAAATATTGAATTTGTTCATGAGAACAGAGGAGTCAGAATCTTAACCCCACAAGGGATCTTAGCATGCAGCTCAGTCTTCCCTCGTTTTATGGATGAGGCCACTGAGGCCCAGAGAGGGCAACTGTCTGGCCAGAAATTGGAGGTAGTGAACCGCAGGAGTGGGAGTAGAACTGTGGCCTCCTGACTCCAAGCCCAGTCTGTATTCATTTAGCACTAGCCTCCCTTCTGTCTCCGAAGCCCTCAAGTAAGGAGGCAGGGGCTGTGGACGTGGACAGCCCAATTCTTGGTCC